CAGCCTCAGCTTCTTCACGTTCCAATTGTCGCCGGGTCGCCTCCACTTCGAGTGTATTAATACGACCTTCCGCAGCAGTTAACAACTCCTGTAACTTTGCAGCCAGTTTCTTATAATCAATATTTACAGCAAGTTTAGCATTCGTCTTCACCGCCATTGCACGAGATCCAAAATAGAGTGTACCCAATGTTTCGTGCATGTGTTCACTACTTGGACCTGCAGTAAGGATAATACTGCATTTTGCACGCCCACCGATAGCATCCTCAAGCATACGAGTTAATTTTGCATTACGCCAGGGAATGTGTTCTGAACGATCCGATAAAGCTTGAACAACGTTCCCAAGAGAAAGAAGAGATGCGTTAATGGTTTTTGCTTCCAATGCCATTTGACCTTCTTGAACACCAGTTTTACTAAATCGTTCGTACCCGGCAAGATCAATAAGAAAGAGTTTTCCACTTCGAACCTCACCACCTGGATCGTCTTTTGGAACTGATTTCACCTGAATAAATAAAGCCGCATGTCCGCGAGAACTTTCCGGATTCATCTTTGTAGCAGTAATTACTCGATATTGATTACCATCATCATAAAGCCGACGAAAGTCTTCTTCGTTCTTTACTGCATGCTCCACAATCCCAGGAAATGAAACTCCATTTTTATCTCGGTTGATTTTCAATTCTGGGGCTTCTGGATTAAATAGATCCTGCAATTTGTCAACGTAAATCTGGATAAAGGAGAACACAATGGTAAAGCTTCTTTCGGAATCACTTTCCACAGAATCAAAAATCGCTTTCATAGCACGTGGAATAATGCCCATATTATTTGGGCTAAAGTTACACATAGTAAACGATTTTCCAGTTCCGGTTTGGCCATATACCATTACAGTGCCCCAATAACCTTTAAAAACATTACCAATGACAGGTTCTGCCACCCTAGTATAAATATCGCCTTGATCTACATCTCCATTGAAGATGTAGTCATAAGTGTATGTTTTTGACTCCAATAGACAGGTTTTGTTGTCCGATTGAATATCAAGCAAAAAATGCGTTCCATTCGCAGGATCAATCTCCCCCTTTTTGGGAGGGCGAATGCGGAGAAACACCATAATACGGTTGGGTTCCTCATTCTTATTTTCTTCCTCACCCATAATTTCAATATATTTTTTCCCCCTTAAACAGAAGTAATGGAAAATAGCTACAGACGTCCAAATTTACCAGAAAACAAATGAAAACAGCAAGAAAAAATAAATAAATAAATAAAGCATATAAAAAAATTAAAAATAAAATAACTATTTTGGGGGGGATTGCTACGAAATAAAATTATTTTTAATTGCTGACTTAATGCAATTGCTTTCTCTCAAGGGGAGGAGAAATCAGAAAGAATTTAAAAAGTAGAGGGAGAGTAAAAGAACAAAAAGGGTAAAAATAGCACAAAATTTATGTGCATTATTTTTGGCTGCTTCGAAAAGGAATTATTATTGTGCCGTTTTATTCGGTGGAGTAAATAATGCCCAATACTGATGCCGTTCGGAACACTAAGGCAAAATTAATCTCATGTGTACACCAAGAAAAAGCATACGTAGAAACATTCGCCGAAGAAAATAATGGTATCCAATGCCCCTTCACTTGTCTGTCGCGGAGAATAAGAATCACACTTTGCAAGATCTAAACCCAACTGTCTGCCTACTCATCTACAATTTGTAAGTGAAAAATACTTTTGTGAAAAATCCATAAGTAAGGGAAAAAATCATAGATAATATTAAGATTATTAATTGGAAACAGGCAAATAAAATCCTTAAAAGACCATATTATTTAAATACCTCAATTTTCATGTGATAAAACCCAACAAAGAGCCATTTCTCCGTTTTATTCCCTCTCTTTTTTTTTTTTCTCTCTCTCTCTATTTATCCCCCTCTTTCATTCTCTCTTTTATTGGGGTGATTGGGATGGCTCCTTTCATTTTACCCCATCATTCTTAAAACGAAAAAATAAAATAAAACCAGAAATGTGCGCGCAAGCTTAGATTCCCCATTTTCCCCTTTCTTTTCATTCGCCTTCGCCGGCGACACCAACTTGGGGTGCTCGCAGTATACGTTCCTTAATCTTGTATCCAACTTTTAGAACAATAGAAATGTGGCCGCTTGGAAATTCGGAGCTTGCAGGCGTTTTGATGAGGGCCTCATGAATGTTAGGATCAAACTTGGAACCCACCTTGACATCCAGCTTCTCAATCCCGTGTTTTGCTAAATTGTTCAGCAGCAACTTGAGAGAAAGTTTGACACCCGTATGAATAGAACTCAAATTTTTATTACTTTCAATTTCCTCAGTAGAAACCTTTGACATAACCTCAAGACCTTTTTCAAGAGTATCCACAACCTCCAGCATGTCTTTGCCAAAAGATGATATTCCATAACTTCTCGCTTTCTCAACATCATCGCGTCCAATACGACGGGCATTTTCAGCATCTGCAGCACGATATAGCACTTCCTTTTTTAGTTCGGATATATTCTCCCTCGCAGATTCAAGCTCCCTTTCCAGTTTTGCAAATGTTTCCTCTTTTAATTGAGATCCCTCTGTTGCCTTCTTAGTGTCGGTATCTTCTTTTTCCTTAACTTCCTGATTAGAACACCATGCACGAGGGGTTCTGTAAGAGACAAGGGCCCCTTGACCAAAGAACGAGGCACCCCTTAAACGAAAGGCACGCATTATTTGAAAACACTCTATAAATATATATTGAAAAAAAAGAAAAAAAAAGAATTATCGTGATAGAATATATATAAATATATATCCTCTCGGAAATGTAAATGTTAAAGATTAAATTCATATATATATATATATATATCAAGGTGGTAACAAAAGATCTAACTCACTCATTTCAACTGCCGTCATCAGCGATTCCCGCCGCAAAAAACACCATGCAAAACGAAAATGTCGCATTTGTTCCCTCGAGACAAAGTCAGCGTTCCGTATCCCAACATCATTGCGCTTAAGAAACACAGGTATGGAAGTCAGAAAAGCGTAATTAAAGGTCTGCAAAGATATATTGTTAAACACAGGAGTCAAGACACCCGTCCTAGAATCTGTTACGGAGACTTCTACAGATGTTCCCCGACAGTTGTGCTGTGCTAACACGGGAAGTATTGGTTCATCAAAAACAGGAATAACGTTATCACTAGCAGCAATCTGTCGCTTAGAAATGATCTTAACCACATGTTCACCTCCATCAGGATCAAGAAACTTCACAAAATATTTGTCACATCTGCCCTGAATAAGACCTCCGCAGCACTCAAAAAACTCGGCAATTGGTGCACATCCTGTGGACCCCTTGAGATTACAAAGAACCTTTTCTCCTTCTCTCCCGTGTTCCAAAGCAGTAAACACAATAACACCACCGGCGTTTGGGGCCAAAGCCCAACGGAACTCAATTCGGCGTAACTCTTGCAAAAACCCCGACCAATTTTTCACAAGTAAAGGTTTTTGAATAAAGCCATACTTCTCAAAACAGATTGACTTTGCTTCATATTCGTCCATCGCCGGAACCACTGGAACAACGCCTGTTTCCGTATCATTTTTCGCGTTTTCTCCACCAAGTCTCATACGCCTCCTACGACGACTTTCAAACGCGGGTAAAAAACCAATTTCAGGTACACTTCCGCGTGTGCCGACGATAAGAAATCGAGCCAGGCACAAGTGAGAAATGCCAACATGTAGAAAACGACGCATCTCTTCATAAAGAAAATAAAAAACAGAATAATCTTCTGGGCAGCTGGCCGGATCCTGAGTTTATCAATCACAGAAAACAAACAAGGTAAGAATAAGAAAGGAATGTATGGAATAGGAATGGATTCACCATTACACCCTCAACGTGTAACACCAAATAAGTGTATATATTTTTTATTTATTTATTTAGTTAGTTAGTTAGTTAGTTAGTTAGTTAGTTAGTTATTACGAAGTGGCAGACTTTGGGGTCCTCCAACCACAAGACACCACCGCTCCCCTTCGCCAAGTCCTGAAGTGCAAACACACGACCGCGTGATATGCCGTCTGCGGAGTTGTCCGCCGGCTGTACGTGGGTAAAGGATGCCCGTATTCCGCGAGAGTCCAAAAACTCACATATCCGTCGCAGCTCCCACGTCATGGCGTGCGATCTCG